TAGATGTTGACACGGACCTCATATTATCATTTACAAAATTATTTCGAGCGCTTTTTATCATTTCGTTGTTCCAACCGTCGAAATGGTAAGTAACCTGAAATGCTCACGAGTGATCCTTTCCTTGGAAAATGATGATGATGCCTATCTGAGCTTTTTGGGCGAATCGACTGTAGGTGGTCATGCAGCACCCACAACTATCATATTCTACAGGGCCGTAAACTAAACAGGAGTATCAAAAAAATATTATTTAGTCTTGGCCAGGCATTATGTCATCGTGAAAATATCACCTAAAAATCTTATTGGTCGCAGGAGCGAGGGAAGTTGTCAAGAATGGGGGATGGGTCAGAGGCATTTGAGTCGTTTCTTTCCATGTACCGCCGGAAGCCTAGTGCTGAATTATCTCAGTTGCTGGGAAGTAGAATATATCCCCCAAGGTCCTCTCCCCCCCCCAAAAAAACGCCATCGTTACCTCGCCTATGCTTGGTCATATCGTCCCCACCCCGGCGTCCCGGTTGTTATGGTGGCGGCTGGCGGCCGGGGGTTGTTTGGCCCGTCCCGTTGCGAAGAGGTGGCTGCTCCCCCCCGCCGCCCCAGACAAGTTGGCGCGTGGGGAGGACGGCTCCTGGAAGTGTTTTGGTGAGCGTGCTGGGCGCATCGGTGAGTGTGCATTGTGCAATATCATTTCCGTTTCGTTCATTGTGCTGTCATGTGGCAGGACTCTTTTATATTGACTTGTTGTCTTTGATAACACCGGCCCACTTGCAGGGCCGCGCCATGTTGCTTGGAGAGCGAAAAGCCTTCCAATATTGTGCATCCTTGCCCACTTAGTGACGTGGAAACCCCTCCTATAGAAACATGAACCTCAATTAAAAAGTCGGTTCCAGTCATTGTGTACAGCGTCATATAAGGCTTATTTATGCATGGGTAAGAAATCTCTCTCCCCTCATTGAAGAAGGCTTTAGACGAGGTCCTGGGCCTGCGTGATTTTTTTCTTGTGCAACAATACATTTGCGATATATCTCGCCTGTTTCTTCTGATGTACTTGCTTGCAATATGCGAACGATGCGTTGTTGGTGTTTTCGGCTTGCGGCCCTTTTTGCGTATTTTCTCCGGCAGGATGAAGCTCGCTGTTGCGGATATTGATGGCAGCGGGATGGACATCAACTTCAGCCCTTCGTTAGCTGGGGAGGTGCCCTGCTGTTGAACTGATGGGCTGCTGCTGAGAACGCAGCTACTCTGCTCTGGATGGCTGTTTGAGGAGTGCTGCTGGCCGCCCGGAAGCTTTCAGTCTGCCAGCAAGCTGGCACAGCAATCAGAGGCCTCTGCCAGTCATCTGGTGCTGCTCCAGAATCATCATTTTTAGGAAAGTAGGCATTGTGCCATATGGGTCCGTAATGTTCAGTTCGTGCTTCACGAACAATTCTGCCAAAATCTACGTCGATGATTTCCTTGCCACGATTATTGGTAACTCCATACCATGGACATGGCAAAGATAAAATCTGCTATATTTCTCTGAGCACTTTCGCAGGCAACAGTAACAAACCAAGTTTTCGAATTGTGTCATAAAAAAGGAAATTGGCACTCTTTTTCACACAAAGCATTCTCACAGCAGTCTTTCAAACTGGGCTGGCGGTGTTTGCCAGGAATCTGCTGTTTTATTCTTTATTGCATGTATTTTTATTAAGTGCGCCTTTTCATCCTTGGCTGCTTTCGTTGCCATCAGCCACAATCCATTCATTCCGGGGGCAAACAGCGAGTGCCTAAAACGACCCAAACTCACCCTTTAATGACTGAAGTGGATCGGAAACCAACCGCTTTAGAATAAGAAATTACTATCGAGATAATATCGTATTCTCACATCGACCGATGACAGTCACTATGCTCCAATCTGTTTAATCATGGCAATGACAAGCTTGTTAGCATCGTCCTGGTGAATTAAACTACAACGCTTCATTTCTTTTTATGGATTATGCCGTTATCTCATAAATGGCACCATGGATGGTTTGGTGTCGTTATTGTGACCGTATGAAGACTAAGTCAAGTTTGCTTTCAGGCAAGCACTCCATGCAAGAGGCCTTACGTAAACGTTTCCCATACAAGTACCCCGAGCAAGTGCGTGTGTAGTGCATTTCTGCACTGCTATTCGGCATAGCTACGTTCGTTATTATCAACCTCGGCAAATGACTTAACATAAAATCAGTTCTTTTGAGTAGTAAACTCTGTTTATATGAAAAATCATCGTCGCTCACGTTGAGGAGCAGTAATCTGAGGAACCAAAGATCGTTATTTTCAGGGGCCATCCTGCGCAGCACACCGCGCTACGGTGTCTCCCGCAACAAAACGAAATAGGTAGCAGGAAAATGGTTTCCGCTGGAGAGACCGCGACGACGGCACGAAACACTGCGCTGACGACTGCACCAACGGCAACGCATGGCATTCGTTGAATAATTCGGTGATTATCGCATTGGGCATGATAACAGAGAAGTGTATGTTTTGTGCAATGGGCGACTCTGGACATGGTGTCCGATAATCTGCACTTGCGTTGCAGCAAGTTGGTGGCAAGCGACAAGCAGGTGATGCGCAGTCAATAGGTCACAGCATCGACCGCAAGGCGGTCTGTCGCCAGCCAATGCTATGGCGGTGTGTAACATATGTGTGTCATATGCGTTGTTGGCACAGGGCAAGTTCCTCCCTCGTATTGTTGCGGAAACGCAACTGCAACTTCCGATACGGGGTTTCACTGAGTTCAGCTTGTTGGCGCTGTCCCAGTGGTGCGCCGCCATCGCTCCCGCATAAAAGACGACACCACGGCGTACGTGTCCTGAGTTGGTTGTGGTATTACAGGAGTGTGTGTCCCAATCGTAGTGCGATTTGCCGCGGCATCAGCAAGATCATTTCCTTAGATCCCCACGTGACTTGGGACGCAACACAGTAGCGGACCGTTTTTCCTGTTCGAACCAGAAGGGTAAGACGTGTCTGAATGTCCTGGACCCGTAGATTCGACGTGGAGAAGCCGCAAACAGCCAGGAGGCTGCTCATGGTGTCGGAAAGAGCCAAATGAAGATCGCTAGCGCCAAGTTTTTAAAACAAAGTTTTGATGATGGCTGTCAGCTCGGAAGTGAAAACTGACGCGTGTGTAGCCCGCGCAAATGGCCGTGTTTTATAGCCACATACAACAGCGCTTCCTATGCCTGCATGCGTCGTAACACAATCCGTGTAAGTCGTCAAATATCCGTCAAAGAAGACCATGCACTTTAAGGCCGTGTTTCCAAGTTCTATCGCGATTACGCTGTTTTCGTGTTTGATAAGGAACGTCCACTTTTGGCGACGCTTGCTTCCAAGGGGCAATTCCTTTCTTTAGATTTGATTACACCTCATAAGTTGAAACCGCCACATTGTCGTGACTGTTGGAGTGGCCTTCGTAAGCCGCACGAAAATGTTGCTTTGTAGATGGAATAATCTGGGAACTGCGCTAGCTTGCACGTGTGGCTCAGTCCCAGCACCTGCCTTCGCAATGCTAGTGGGGTGCTCCTGAGCCTCTACCAGGAGACTATCATGTCAATGATCAGACTATATATGATATTCGCCTGCGGTTTCCGCAAAACAGACAAACCTATTCCACGGGACCGGCGATTGATCGTGGGACGTAACCGGTTATTTCTGCGCCTTGCATCAAATGTCGCCTTTGAATGATGGCAGGACGCACTGCCGTTGTATTAAACAACATTGCATTGTATCGAACACTGACAAACGGTCGGTGCCGGCCAAATCAATTCTCCTGACCCGCGAACACAAGACGCTCAATCTATGCCACGTGATCTATTTCACATGGCTGTGAATGTGATAGGTTTGGACGTCTGGACGTCCAAACCCTCTGACCTGTATTCATGAGAATGCGTGAATACAGTAGAAGATTCACGTGAATGCTTCGCAATGCTAATGGGGGCTCGTGCGCTTCTACCAGACGACATGGACGACGTTCGAAAAGCCCCTGTGGTCATGCGTAGTGCGACGTAGTGCGCCGTGTTCAAAGTGCGTTTGCAGGTCTGTTGTACCGTCATAAATAAAGCAGTTGTAGTCAAGTCTTTAAAGAATGAGGGAACGACAGAGGTGAGAGCGTACTCCTATAAACACCGTATGACGTACGTCCCACGGACGCTAAGGTGTTAAGGGATTTTAAACATTCGTCGCGGAGGCTTTTGTGTGCATTCAGTATGTTACCTGTCGGTCAAATCGTATACCTACAGATTTTCTTGGAGAGGGTACGTTGGTTACAGGGCTGTTGGTTACATGAGGATACCCAGGGTCATTTCAGGTACTTGTTTCAAGTTTGACATTGCGTGACATCAGTGAAACCGAACGTCACGATCTAGAGATGTAAAATATTTTCAGGAACGAGTTCACATGGGGCCTTGCCCACCATATTGGTGTTGCTATGTTCATTAATTTTTAGTATTTCACGGGGTTGATTGACTACCAGAGGGCATCTTATTCAAGCTGCCACCAGAGCGTATTTGAAAAAGATGAGATGTAAGCCACTTCGTTGTCTCGAAACATTTCACGACAAAGTGGAAAATGTGACCGTTTATTGGACATGAGTACAGCACACCCACCTACCAACAACAAAAAAGCGCCCCACAACTTCGGCCCTGTTTGCAGTTTATCTGCTTGTCATCGGAACATCACTGCTCTTCACTTGAAGCACTAAAAGTGAAAAATAGAAAACGCCATGCTTAAACCAAAACCTTGATCTAAATCCAGGCTTACAATTGTTAGAAGTAACGAAATCCAAAACATTGAGCGGGGGGGGGGGGAGCTTAGAGGAAGCACGACCTCTCCGTCTGTCCTTGATAACTTACGAACCGTTTTCGCAACCAAAATCAAGGTTGAATGGTGTCGATAGTGGGCCATTTAACGATTTTGACGGCAGTAAAATTTTGGGTCAGATAAAGTATTGTGAATAAAAAATCTCACAAGGTCACATCAGGTCACGGTTGGTAAATTGTTAGATTCCGAGATGCACAACTTTAAATTCTTAAACAATGTCAGCCGGTACCTACCGATTGCAATGCGTCAGAATATGAGCGTTGAGCGTGGTCCAACGGCCATTGACCTGAATGCTCCCCTCCATTGGCCTCATGATGCATTTGGCAATGTTCAGCCGCCTCTGACTATCACGATAAATAGGTAGCCCACACGCACACCGGTATGCAGAACAGCAACACAAGCGTCTGACAGCGCACGCCAATATTCGTGCAGCCTATCGTAAAGACGTGATGACAATGATGATGACAATGATGACAATTCAGGCCTGTCTTTCTCAGCCCTCACATGGCGCCCAATTAATCACTAGAACATTATGCCAAGATAAGTAGCACTGCCGCGAACCGTGAGATGGGAATTGAGGGGAAGCGGAGCGGAAATAATTCTAAACCAAACGCAATCGGTCCCGACTCACAACGTGAATGATGCGACAGTCAACGGATAACGCAAAATACGATCACGAAGTAGCAACTCACAGAACGATCTTAACGTCTGGCGTTCTACGCTAGCTGCCTCTGCATATTGTGTGCTTCCATTGTCAAGGGGTGGAGGCCAGCCGGTCACCGTGCAGCAACAGGGTGACATCGGCTACCAGACAGTGAATCGATCTGTCGCCGGTTCGGGTCAATGTTCAGGCGGCCCAGCTGGGCGAAGGCGCATCCTGGCTACGGCACACTGGGTTGCCATACCCTCGCTGGTGAGCGTCTAGTTCTGGGTGCACCATTTTCATCACCTGCGAGAATGACAAGTGGTGATTCAGCCGCCAGCCATTATTGACGCGGGAAGCAGTCAGAGTAGATTTTGTCACTAGCAACCAGTGGCGTAGGCAGGGAGTCAGGGGACACGTGCTCCCCCGTTAGGTTATGAGGGGCCTCAGGGGTCTCTCCGGACTGACGATTAAAGGCTCATTGGCGGATCTGAGAGGCCGACCAGAGGTCATATTCAGGGGCCCAGCCCGCTAGGCCAAGCACTTCAATGCCAGCCAGAGTGCCCTTTGTGCCGATCGGCGGCCACCTGAGTGAGGGCATATAGGCCTTTAAGACACCCCCAAGGTCGCACAATTAAATCCTTGTCGGCATGGCCAAGGCCCCATTTCTCAAAAGGGGACGAAGCCGGGGCAAGCGATTTACATTGGTGGGGCCCTCTCATTTGTCATGGGTCCTCAGTGTCTAAAAGAGAGCTCTGTTTTGGCGAGGGGCCGAATCGGCCGGGACAGTGTTCGAGGAAGCCCGAAGGAAGTCTGGAGGGCTCACTGGGACCGACCATCAAGGACCCGATTAGAGGGCATAAGGGCTTAAAGACTTGCCGTTGTCTTATTCAGGAGCCAGGCGTGCGGGGTCAGCCCTCATGTGGCAGCCGGAATGTCATTTGCACCAATCGAGGACACCTGCATGTCCATATGGGCCTGAAGGTCCACCCAGCGGCTGTCACGGGCTGTCTGGGACCCATTTTCCAAGCGGGAAAAAGGCCTGGACCCACGATTCGCATTGGTGTGGGTTGCGTTTGCATGTTCAGAACACCCCGGTAGGACTGTGACCTCAGACGCCAGTCAGTAGGACTGTGACCTCAGACGCCAGTCAGAGGGCCTCCATTTGGGCCAGGACCACTGACAACGGACAGTCAAGCTGGTGAATCTCTCACCAAGCTGATGAAGCTTGTAGACTGCACTGAACAGCCAACCCTTCACCGACGACCGTGCACTTATACCCGTCGTTTAGTCCGCCATCTTGCCGGGTTTCGGCTACACATGTGATTAGCAGAAATTTCACCCTTTCCACTACTCACAATTCAAATAGACAAACTCTGTTGAGTTTGTCCATTCGAATGCGGCTCTATATTCAAGTCTCAGGAAGAGACTATACTCATCCCTGGGATAACCACGCAGAACACAGAACAACCGCAGCCCAACATCTTAGAGACCAACAAATGACTAAACACTAGCAAGCGACTCAAGACCCTAACAACCCAGTCGCCTACCGCAACGGCAGAGGGGACCATGTCTCAGGCTTCAGCTCGTACATACCCGCAATACCCTATCGGCCACTAGCGCCATCTGTAGAGCTCATGGTTAACTACAGCCTCCACGTAATACAATACGGGAAGTGTTCCATCGTGACTGCAGTGGCTCCGGAATACTAGCGGGTGGTTCGGTAGACTTTAGTAGACTGCACATCGCCCAGCTGTGCGGGTGAGAATCGTGTGCGACAAACCCGCTGCAGTCAGCTGATTTAGGAGTTACGAACATTAGGGGTTATGATACACTAGGTCTTACAATACATTAGGTGTTATGATATATTAGGAGTTGTGTGACATTAGAGGTTACGAGCGTTAGGAATTACGATACGTTGGGTCTTGCGACACATTAGGTGTTATGAGACACTAGGTGTTATGATACCTTAGGGAATATGATATATTAGGAGTTGTGTTACATTAGAGGCTACGAGCATTAGGGATTATAATACGTTAGGCGTTATGACACATTGGGAGTTACGATGCATTAGGAGTTGTGATGCATTAGGTGTTGTGATACATTAGGAGTTACGATACCTTAGGGGTTATGACACATTAGGTGCTACGTACATTAGGCGTTATGAAGCGCTAGCGGTTGTGATACATTAGGCGTTCCGATACATTAGTGGTTACACGCATTAGGGGTTTCGATACCGACCCAAATGTAAATGAAATGTACGAGGTCGCTGATGCGTACCAAAATCACGGAACAGATGCAAAACAAAGTTGCGGCGAAAGCTACAGGTCTCCAAAAAGGAATGATGCTGTTTAGAAGCATCCAAAAATGCATCACTGAAGCACCACATGAGGCTGAAGATTACAGCTGTCTAAAGATATGAGAACCTCAGTCATATGTTCAGAAGTTATACCACAAGAAATCTCACAATAAAGCTTATACAACTCTCCACGCTTTCCCGTTATGGTTTACTCAGTTGTTGGAATGTTGCCGAAAATTATTCATTAACGAAGGACAGTCATGATGGATGTTTTAGGAACCAGAAATAGGCATCTTTGAAAAGTTTAAGGTGATCAACCGATAGGCTTTTATCTGTGGATGTCCCCATTCCTTAAATGTTAGTGGGTGCTAGTTCGGTTTTAATGTCAGTTTATAGGAAATGTTAATGAATCCAGTGCGGTTTTAGTGCCGGTTTATAGCTATTATCAAAACGCAACAAAATTCTAAACTGGCTAACAGCCAACGTTGGTCGGAGCTCACCAACATTTGCGACAGCTACGCTCGTAGTTCTACTTCACAAGACATCATGTCGGGGAGCTAAGCATGTATTGAAACTGCTCAAGAATCCGAGCTAAGAAGAAATCCTAATGCATGCCCTAGGGCGTGCATCTGGATTGATAAGTACGAAAAGCTCCATCAGTCCAGCTTTGGTGTTTTTAACGTGCGCTCGGATGGCCACTTGCATACCCTTCGCTCGGGTCGGGGGTTAATTTAACTCCGCTGATATCTCAGGAACTACGAGAGCTAGAAACAATAGCTTTACAGAGTATGTTGCCCTGTAAATGAACTCATTTAAATACAATTTTGAGGTTTTTAGATCATGATCTTCGGGTAGAATCAGGTGAAACAAGGTCAAAGTCCAGGCTGGTCTCCGAAGGACTGCTGGAAGCTGGATAACTGTTCTAAGCAGAAATTCACATGCTCATCTAACGTCAGTGACATCGTTTGACCGTTTAAAGACTATGGTGACCAAAATCATACAAGACTGCTTTAAGCTTTGCATGTGGATAAGCAACAAAGATTACACTAGGCAGTATGTGCCTAAAAACAAAATATTGACCTGTCATTCTAGATCGGTGACCTATGCTGACCTTTCAAAAGTCCATGCAAGGTGTATAATGCGGTTCCTGTTAAGAATGAATTCGAAACGACGACCAGAAACTACCTCACAAGGCATGCCATAGAGTAATAAAATAGGCTCATTTTGACCTTGGTCTGACCTTTATTCCTGACCTTAGGTCAATGTAATTTTTTCATTTAATTGTAGTATTACCTAAGAGCGTATCTCCGAGATATATGGCTTCGTCTAACCATCCATTGTTGGATCAGATTGAACGATTCCCTAAAAATTGCCTTCGCTGAAACCATGGCCCAAATTTGGCCTGTCATAGATCAGCGACCTTACAAGGTATATCTAGATTTTTGATGCCAGACGATCCGCTATTCAATTGTCGAAAGCTATGCAAGTCGCAAACCACTACGGAAAAACCTTTGGAGTCAATTTGACCCCCACTCGAGCGCGTTTTAATGGAGTGTCCCACAATGGGGCGCATTCCAAAACCATACTCTAGTGAAACCTTATAACCAGCTTCCTCTAATAACGCATTGGTTAGTACCACTTCAGCACCTTCATAACATAATCAGGGGCTGCCGATTCCAATTAATTTTTAGTCCAAATAACGCTGCTAATGCTTTTTAACAGAACTACTCTTCTTTCCTCGCCCTAAAGGTACCAGATCGCTTTAATCTTGTCATATGAATAAACATTTGTTCTGATTTGTTAGTTTATTAAGCATGAGGGACTGCGGTAGGCGGTGCATTCTTACAACAAAAGGTCAGTCTGGGTCATTTTGGTCCAGTGACTAATCCTAGCGTTTCAGAAATCCACAAAAGATGTATTTGTGGTCCGCGTTACAAAGAAATTTGAAATGAATGTTATAAGCTATCCCGTAAAGCAAAATCGTCAGTAAAAAACAGGTTGGTCTTTAACATGGTTCTGGCCTTCATGTCTGACACTCGGTTAAAAGGGTTTGTTTTAACCCTAAATTTAACAGTTTCTTGGTTAAAAAATATCTCAAAGATGCATTATTTCGTCTAACACCCCTCTGTCGCATCAGATTGAACGATTCTCCAGAAATTGTCTTTGCCGACAGCCAAAGATCAGTGGCCTGACAAGGTACATGTAAGCTCCGCCGCACCGTTTGAATATCATGTTATAAAAACACTTTGAGGGGGATACACTGCCTCCCCCCCCCTTCACCCATGCGCGCGTTAACTAGCATGCAACTACTTGTCCACTGGCTCATTGCTGTCGAAGTCCAAGTGATCCAGAACATTCGTCAACAGATGTATGTGAATACGCTGCCAGTCTGACAAACGATGTAAGCATGACTGATGGGTCTCCAACTGCTGTTTTAGCACGGGCAGTGGTGCCTCATCATTTGCGGGTGAATTTAGGCGGTCGAGTGCAGGCGGGTTTGTGTGAGGGCGCATTTAAAGCTGCAGTCCAGTCGCTGTGGCCTTTAATCTCGCCCGTCCGGCTTCATTGCAGATTACTCAAAACCGGACGAAAACCGGTCATGCACTTCCTTCAAAAATGGCATGCACCAACTGAGCGACCAGCGTTATGTAAGTGCTTACAGTGGCGGAGCCAGTTAAGAAAAGGGAAGCAACGGGCGACGAAACCACCAAGACTATGAAAAAGCGGATTTTTCGTCGGCATGGCTTTCCTGTAAGTGATGCGAAAATAGGAGCTTCGTCCCTTCCAGCTGACTTCCTTCGATGCTGAATATGCCCATGGTCACCACCAGCCTCCGGAGAACTGGGATGTGTCAGTGGATTATAAGAGGTTCGGGCAGAAGGGCATCGCAGAGTGCGGTGCTTCGCAGACAGAGAAGCAGAGCATTACGCGGTTAAGTGTCGCTCGGGTACAGTGCGGACCATGCCCCGTCGCGCCGTTGCCTGCTGGATGGTGCCGCTGGCGGTGCTCGTCTGCCTCTGGGAGTGCGGCGCCGACCGGTACACCGCTAAAACACTGCGGCTGTACCTCAAGGAAGCCATCGCCGAGGCGCTGCTTGAACATCGCAGTGATCTCCTGCAGCCGGAGACAGCACCGACCACCTCACAGTCCGGGTGTGCGAAGCAGTTCATACCGTGCGCCGGCCGCTGCTACCGGCGGCTGTCCCCGGCCATCACGTATGAACAAGCTGAACAGGCGTGCGCGCAGGTCAACTCGCACCTGGCGGTGCCGCGCACTCGTGACGAGAACCTATGCGCCGCCGGTCTGGCCCGCAACCGGCACATCTGGCTGGGAATTACCGATCAGCTCACCGAGGGAGTGTTTGTCGACATCTTTGGTCGGTCGGTGACAGAAGAGCTTACCCAGATGTGGTCCGCAAATCAACCAGACAACCACAATGATACAGAAGACTGTGTGGAGATCTGGCCGGAAAACGCATATAATTTTGGCTCCAGGTTCGCCGAGTGGAATGACAAGCCATGCTTTCATCTGGGATACCCAATGTGCCAATCGGCATGAGAAGAAACACGTAGTTGGAGAAGGTGAAGAAAGGCCTAGCCACTTGCTGAGAAGTTTGACTCGCGTGGCTGCACCGGGGCACACTGATAGCAAGAGAACCAAGTGTTTTGACGTAAAGCATCATCAGTTGCATAGTTGAGCAAATTTTGCACGGTAAAGTGGTGCAAAACGTCTCGCGTGGTAAAAACCCTACGCTGATAGCTCTAAAACTTGATGCCCTGAGCAAAATGTGTAATGCACAGGCTGAGAAAAAGTTTTCACGCGTTTCAAAGCGTTACGTGTGTTTCAAATGGATGCGGATGTTTGCGTGACAACGAAGGTGAGAACTTTGCATTATGTGGGTATGTCTTCCGCTTTTCTTGTTGCAGTTCGCCCATAGCAGCGTTTTGAACTGAAAAAAGGTAGGGAAAGTTGTAAGGGTTGTTATGAGCTTCCTCCTGCCATAACTTCTGAGCATATTCCAAGATTCTCATATCTCCAGACAGCTGTAATCTTCAGCCTCATGTGTATGGTGCCTCAGTGATATATTTTTAGATGTTTTTTTAACAGCCTAATTCCTTTTTGGGGATCCGTACCTTCCGCTGTGAGTCTTTCCTGCATCTGTTCCGTTGATTTTGGCACGCATCAGCGACCTCGTACATTTCATTGCCCTTGGTCGTTGAAGTTATGTCAGTCATCACATTTGTCGACCTGTTCTTAATACCTACGCAGGCTGCACCTGACCACCAGCGTTGTTTCAATATACTTAAATACATGATATCGCTAGGGTTGAACTGCAACGAAAAAATGACAGAAATGCTCACATGATATCCCGTTCTTACCTCCGTTTCCAAGGAAACAGCCGCATTCATACCAATTTCATGTAGCCGGATAAAACATGGTCTGTTTCCCATCCTGTACATTACATGCTTTACTCAGGACATGCAATTTTGCAGCTATCGGCGTGGGGTGTTTTACCCTGCGAGGCGTCTTGCACCGTCGTACCGCACCCACATTGCTGAAATATAAAACCGGTGGTCCTTCAGGTAGCTGTACTTGGATCACTTGGTAAAACGTACTCCGGTGTAGCCGCGTAATTCAGACTTCTCAGCAGGTGGCTAGGCATTATATCAACCTCTCGAACTACAGGTTTCTTATCATGCCAATTGACACATTGGGTATCCCAGTTCAGAGCAGTGTTTGTCATTCCATTCGGCGAACTTGGAACCGAGATTAAATGCGTTTTCCGGCCAAATCTCAACACAATCTTCTGTACCATTGTAGTTGTCTGGTTGGCTTGCGGACCACACCTGGGTAAGCTCTTCTGTCACCGACCGGCCGAAGGTGTCGACAAACACTCCCTCGGTGAGCTGATCGGTAATTCCCAGCCAGATGTGCCGGTTGCGGGCCAGACCGGCGGCGCATAGGTTCTCGTCACGAGTGCGCGGCACCGCCAGGTGCGAGTTGACCTGCGCGCACGCCTGTTCAGCTTGTTCATACGTGACGGCCGGGGACAGCCGCCGGTAGCAGCGGCCGGCGCACGGCACGAACTGCTTCGGGCACCCGCACTGTGAGGTGGTCGGAGCTGTCTCCGGCGGCAGGAACTCACTGCGGTGTTCAAGCAGCGCCTCAGCGATGGCTTCCTTGAGGTAGCGCCGCAGTGTTTTGGCGGTGTACCGGTCGGCGCCGCACTCCCAGAGGCAGACGAGCACGGCCAGCGGCACCATCCAGCGGGCAACGGCGCGACGGGGCATGGTCCGCACTGTACCCGAGCGACACTTATCCGCGTAATGCTCTGCTTCTCTGTCTGCGGAGCACCGCACTCCGCGATACCCTTCTGCTCGAACCTCTTAGAACCCACTGACACATCCCCAGTTCTCCGGAGGCTAGTGGTGACCATGGGCGAATTCAGCATCAAATACCATGAGGAGTAAAACTCCTATCGCTGCATTCCCTACATCCCGGTGAAAAATAAGGAAACCATGCTTTTCGTCGTCTTGATGCTGTTTTGGTTCCTCCCCAATCATCCCACTGGCTCCGCCACTGCACGCCGTTGTACCACACCGGCCATGCCGGTTTTAGTCCGGTTTTGCGCCCTAGCAATAGAGCCACACGGGCCAGATGAAATGTTGCGGCGACCAGACTGCACACTAAGAATGTGCCGGCAAATAAACACGCCTGCACTCAGTCCAGCCAATTCTCCCGCGACAAAGGAGGCACCGCCGGACTATGTCCGTAAACAACCGACTGGGAGCCCCAGCCCCGTTTGCATCGCCAGCTGGTGCTGCCTGGCGGCATGGCCTGCGGTCCTGCACCTCTTATGTGGAGAGTTAAGCACAAACTGACTTTGTAATATTGCCTGTTTTGGTCTTCGAAATGCGTGGTAAGATGTACCGAATTTCTTGTTGAGTTACACAAGCAAGGCTTCATTTAAAAGCGACGGTAGTCATAGTAGTGATGAAGTTGAGAGATATTGACGTTATTTGTGGTGCGCCTTCGTCTCTTGCGAATTCTGGCGAGCGCTTTTCATCTGGTACGGCAGGTTAAAGTTTCACGACTTAGCAGACCAAGGTCTGATTCGCTCCAGTTGTTGATCGAGCTCTAACTTCAGCGGCGGCAAGCACTTCTATTGGTTGGGAGAAGTCTAATAGAAGTGCATAGAGACGGAGATACCCACGAAGGCGGGCGCCTTGTAACATGATGCGGCTTAAGCTCTATTACACCGTGTGTACCTCTTAAACATAAGCGAACAATGAAGTTGAGATATATATTAGACGATGATTTTCCGAATCGTACCGAAAGGTGAAGCCTTACATGAATGGGCACATTAGAATGTACTGTAAAGAAAATGTGTGCATAATTTGCCCCACAATGGATCATGAATGATATAGGCGTATCAACAGGAAAACGAATAATGGCTGAAATGCAAGGCACTGATTGCACGATGTCTGTCGGTAAAACACCTAAAACACCAAAGTAAAAGGGCAGAACGCGAACGTGAATCAACCTCACCCCGGTGTGGTCTGCAAGTCAACCAGACAGCAACAATGGCACAGGAGACTGCGTGGAGACCTGGCCGAAAGAACCATTTAGTCTCGGCTCCAGGTTCGCCGAGTGGAAAGACAAACAATTTTCAGAACTAGGATTCCCAATGTACCAGTTGGCATCAGAAGAAACCTGTAGTTTGAGAGGTTGAAGAAATGCCTAGCCACCTGCTGAGAAGTCTGACATACGCGGCTACACCGGAGTACGTTTTACCAAGTGATCCAAGTACAGCTACCTGGAGGACCACCGGTTTTATATTTCAGCAATGTGGGTGCGGTCCGACGGTGCAAGACGCCTCGCAGGGTAAAACACCCCACTCCGATAGCTGCAAAATTGCATGTCCTGAGTAAAGCATGTAGTACACAGGATGGGAAACAGACCGTGTTTTATCCGGCTACATGAATTTTAGGGGCATGCGGCTGTTGACTTGGACGCGAAGATAAGAACCTTGTATTGTGTGGGCATTTATCTTATTGTTTTCGATGCAGTTCACCGCTAGCCATATCATGGAATTAAGGATATTAAAGTAAAACTGGTGGCCAGGTGCTGTCCGTGTGGGTATTACGAATAGGTCCACAAATATGATGACTGTCATAACTTCAACAACCAAGGGGTCGAAATGTACGTATGAAATGAAATGTAAATGAAATGTACGAGGTCGCTGATGCGTGCCAAAATCACGGAACAGATGCAAAACAAAGTTGCAGCGAAAGCTACAGGTCTCCGAAAAGGAATGATGCTGTTTAGAAGCATCCAAAAGTGCATCACTGAAGCACTACATGAGGCTGAAGATTACAGCTGTCTAAAGATATGAGAACCTCAGTCATATGTTCAGAAGTTATACCACAAGAAATCTCACAATAAAGCTTATACAACTCTCCACGCTTTCCCGTTATGGTTTACTCAGTTGTTGGAATGTTGCCGAAAATTATTCATTAACGAAGGACAGTCATGATGGGTGTTTTAGGAACCGGAAATAGGCATCTTTGAAAAGTTTAAGGTGATCAACCGATAGGCTTTTATCTGTGGATGTTTCCATTCCTTAAATGTTAGTGGGTGCTAGTTCGGTTTTAATGTCAGTTTATAGGAAATGTTAATGAATCCAGTGCGGTTTTAGTGCCGGTTTATAGCTATTATCAAAACGCAACAAAATTCTAATCTGGATAACAGCCAACGTTCGTCGGAGCTTACCAACATTTGCGACAGCTACGCTCGTAGTTCTACTTCACAAGACATCATGTCGGTGAGCTAAACATGTATTGAAACTGCTCAAGAATCCGAGCTAAGAAGAAAGCCTAATGCATGCCCTAGGGCGTGCATCTGGATTCATAAGTACGAAAAGCTCCATCAGTCCAGCTTTGGTGTTTTTAACGTGCGCTCGGGTGGCCACTTGCATACCCTTCGCTCGGGTCGGGAGTTAATTTGACTCCGCTGAGATCTCAGGAACTACGAGAGCTAGAAACAATAGCTTTACAGAGTATGTTGCCCTGTAAATGAACTCATTTAAATACAATTTTGAGATTTTTAGATCACGATCTTCGGGTAGAATCAGGTGAAACAAGGTCAAAGTCCAGGCTGGTCTCCGAAGGACTGCTGGAAGCTGGATAACTGTTCTAGGCAAAAATCCACATGCTCATCTAACGTCAGTGACCTCGTTTGACCGTTTAAAGACTATGGTGACCAAAATCATACAAGACTGCCTTAAGCTTTGCATGTGGATAAGCAACAAAGATTACACTAGGCAGTATGTGCCTAAAAACAAAATATTGACATATCATTCTAGATCGGTGACCTATGCTGACCTTTTAAAAGTCCATGCAAGGTGTATAATGCGGTTCCTGTTAAGAATAAATTCGAAACGACGACCAGAAACTACCTCACAAGGCATGCCATAGAGTAATAAAATAGGCTCATTTTGACCTTGGTCTGACCTTTATACCTGACCTTAGGTCAATGTAATTTTTTCATTTAATTGTAGTATTACCTAAGAGCGTATCTCCGAGATATATGGCTTCGTCTAACCATCCATTGTTGGATCAGATTGAACGATTCCCTAGAAATTGCCTTCGCTGAAACCATGACCTAAACTTGGCCTGTCATAGATCAGCGACCTTACAAGGTATATCTAGATTTTTGATGCCAGACGATCCGCTATTCAATTGTCGAAAGCTATGCAAGTCGCAAACTATTACGGAAAAACCTTTGGGGTCGATTTGACCCCCACCCGAGCGCGTTTTAATGGAGTGTCCCACAATGGGGCGCATTCCAAAACCATACTCTAGTGAAACCTTATAAGCAGCTTCCTCTAATAACGCATTGGTTAGTACCACTTCAGCACCTTCATAACATAATCAGGGGCTGCCGATTCCAATTAATTTTTAGTCCAAATAACGCTGCTAATGCTTTTTAACAGAACTACTCTTCTTTCCTCGCCCTAAAGGTACCAGATCGCTTTAATCTTGTCATTTGAATAAACATTTGTTCTGATTTGTTAGTTTATTAAGCATGAGGGACTGCGGTAGGCGGTGCATTCTTACAACAAAAGGTCAGTCTAGGTCATTTTGGTCCAGTGACTAATCCTGGCGTTTCAGAAATCCACAAAAGATGTATTTGTGGTCCGCGTTACAAAGAAATTTGAAATGAATGTTATAAGCTATCCCGTAAAGCAAAATCGTCAGGAAAAAACAGGTTGGTCTTTAACATGGTTCTGGCCTTCATGTCTGACACTCGGTTAAAAGGGTTTGTTTTAACCCTAAATTTAACAGTTTCTTGGTTAAAAAATATCTCAAAGATGCATTATTTCGTCTAACACCCCTCTGTCGCATCAGATTGAACGATTCTCCAGAAATTGTCTTTGCCGACAGCCAAAGATCAGTGGCCTGACAAGGTACATGTAAGCTCCGCCGCACCGTTTGAATATCATGTTATAAAAACACTTTGAGGGGGATACACTGCCTCCCCCCCCCTTCACCCATGCGCGCGTTAACTAGCATGCAACTACTTGTCCACTGGCTCATTGCTGTCGAAGTCCAAGTGATCCAGAACATTCGTCAACAGATGTATGTGAATACGCTGCCAGTCTGACAAACGATGTAAGCATGACTGATGGGTCTCCAACTGCTATTTTAGCACGGGCAGTGGTGCCTCATCATTTGCGGGTGAATTTACGCGGTCGAGTGCAGGCGGGTTTGTGTGAGGGCGCATTTAAAGCTGCAGTCCAGTCACTGTGGCCTTTAATCTCGCCCGTCCGGCTTCATTGCAGATTACTCAAAACCGGACGAAAACCGGTCATGCACTTCCTTCAAAAATGGCATGCACCAACTGAGCGGCCAGCGTTATGTAAGTGCTTACAGTGGCAGAGCCAGTTAAGAAAAGGGGAGCAACGGGCGACGAAACCACCAAGACTATGAAAAAGCGGATTTTTCGTCGGCATGGCTTTCCTGTAAGTGATGCGAAAATAGGAGCTTCGTCCCTTCCAGCTGACTTCCTTCGATGCTGAATGTGCCCATGGTCACCACCAGCCTCCGGAGAACTGGGATGTGTCAGTGGATTATAAGAGGTTCGGGCAGAAAGGCATCGCGGAGTGCGGTGTTCTGCAGACGGAGAAGCAGAGCATTACGCGGTTAAGTGTCGCTCGGGTACAGTGCGGACCATGCCCCGTCGCGCCGTTGCCCGCTGGATGGTGCCGCTGGCGGTGCTCGTCTGCCTCTGGGAGTGCGGCGCCGACCGGTACACCGCTAAAACACTGCGGCTGTACCTCAAGGAAGCCATCGCCGAGGCGCTGCTTGAACATCGCAGTGA